CAAGTCACTAAGTCCAGTCCACACTCCAAGGGGAGGGGAGTTCCACTTACCGGAGAAAGGAGTATCTACTTGTATTATTTGGCATTCTTTTATAAGGGAGATTTGTACCTTCTCCCCCCCTTTATGAAAATCATTGCTTTTCTTCCTTCATGGTAAATAAAATAATAATATAAAATGAAATCATTGCTTTCTGATCCACCATCTGTAGTACAACTTCCAAGATGCAGATTTTCCTAAAAACCGTTCTGGGAAAGACTATCACTCTCCAGGTTGAACCCCTGGATACAATAGAAAATGTGAAGGACAAGATCCAGGGTAAGGAAAGAATTGCTCCTGATTAGCAAATCCTGATCTTTGCTAGCAAGCTACTGAAAGATGTCAGCCAGCTGCCAAAAAAGAAGAGCAACTGGAAGATGGACATATTTTGACTACAACATTCAAAAGGAGTGCACTCTTCATCTTGTGTTGAGATGTCATGGTGGTGCTAAGGAAGAAGAATAAGCAGAGAGAAAGGATAAGCTGGCAGTCCTGAAATACTGTAAGGCAGGTGAACATGGCAAAATTAGTCACCTTTGCTGGGAGTGCCCTTCATATGAATGTGGTGATGATTTTTATGGCCAGCCACCTTGACAGACACTGTGGCAAATGTTGTCTGATTTACTGTTTCAACAAATCAGAAGACAAGTAATTGTGTGAGTTAATAAAACACATGAACTAAAGAAATTAAGTCATTAATATCTGCATGGGCTCTATTTTATACTCTGGTTTGTAATCACACCGTTTTTAGATGAAGAAACCTATTGATTTGTCTAATACCACAAGGTAAGTAGGTGGGAGCCATGGCTAGACCCAGGTCTCCAGAGCTCTTCCAAGGGAAAAGTTGTGAAAAGTGCAGTCTGTATATCCAGACAATGGCATACTACTCAGCGGTAAAAACGAAGTACTGGTATGTACTACAGAATGGATGAACATTACATTATGCTCACTTAACTTAGACATGAGACCACATAATGTAGACTCCATTTATATGAAACGCCAACAGGCAAATCTATAGACAGATACCAGTTACCTAGAACTGAGGAAATGAAGTGACCTCTAATTGGTTGCTATTGCAGGGAGTACCAGGGCATGAACATGTCCTAAAATTGTGACTGTTGCACAACTAGAACCCATTGAATTGTATTTTAAATAGATGAATTGTATGATATGTGAATTGTATCTCAATAGAGCTATTACTAAAGAGTGCAATTCAGGATTCAAAATTATCATCCTTCTTACAAGCTGAGACCTTTGCCAAGTGACTTTCTATGCTAGTTTTCTTAGCTGAATTATGGGGATAATAGAAACTTTTTCATCGGGTTTAAGATTCGACAAGATGATTAGAATGCCTACCAGGGTCTGGCATGTAACCATTTCTGCCTCAGGGCCTCATTTGCTTATTCCTTCTGCCTGGAGCACAGCTTACTCCTTTGTCAGCTTCTGCTCCAACATGCCATCTTTTACAGCATCCCAACAAGCTTTCCCCTCTTGCTCCAATTTTTTCCTCTAGAACTGATCACTACCTAGTATTCCCAATACCCACTCCTCTCCAGCCAGGAACACTCAGCATCGTCTCCTTTCCACAGTGCCTGGCTAACGCTATTCACCTATATCAGCCCCTGTCCTGCCTCTCCTAACCATGTATCAGTGTAGCAGCCACCATTATAGAGCCCTGTGGCAATCCCCTGCAGAACACTCAGTACCAGCTGGTGCCACTGGGTCCTTGGAGCTGAGTGCAAGCTTCTGGAAAGCAATAACTTATCTTTGTTATTGCTGATGAAAATAGGACTTGGTGTGTATTTGTGGGGTGACTGAATCTTTATGTACTTTATGTACTGATGTGGA